GCTTATTCTCACCTCCCATCATGCATCACTCCCTGGGCCTCGTTACCAGGGGGATGCTTATTCTCACCTCCCATCATGCATCACTCCCTGGACCTTAAATGTATATACATAAATGTTGCACATAGAAAATAAAGGAACTGTCACAAAATCAGCTAAACTTGTGCTTAGGTTAGTTTTGTTTCTTGTTGCTGTTGCTGTATACATTGAGTTCATTTCTCAAACAGAGTCACCGTCTAGCACAGTTGCCTACCACCACAGTCTCAGGAATGCCACTTTGCTAGCACCTTGCGATTGTGTGCTGAACTACACTTCCCAACAACCACTGCTCAGCAAGAGACACTGGTCCTCTGCTTTGGTGGCTGCCTAGAAGAGGAGGAGCATCAGCTTTGGTGCAGTGTGGCATTCCTCCTTCCCCCAAAACAACAGGACAAACAAACCATGCTCCTTTTGAGATCCTACAGAGTCAGATCTGTTATGAATTAAATCAGCCATAATCAGACTGAATGGCGTCTCATTCACAAATGGAGATGTTTGACTTCTGAAAAAAGGAAGACATTCCTTGAAGAAATGGACATTTCGGGAAGCTGGGAGTTATATCCAAGAACAGTAATATTATCTAAATGAAATGTAAATGCCCTGTGGTCTGTAGCATCTCCAATGGGGCACAGCAATGTGTCTGGCTGTTGCTTCGCCCTGCGCTCCTGGCTGAATGTTATTGGCCATGTAGATATAATCATCAAGAAAGGCAGGACCCTTGCATGTGTGTTGATGTAAAAATCTGCTGTCCCCTTTGCTTCTCCAATCAGCCGATGCTATTCTTTTTCTTCTTCTAAAAAGAAATTTTTAACGACCCTTGTGTCAATAAAGTGTTTTGATTAATGACATGTTTAATAAATTTAATTCCTAAGTATGTATGCATTGCCCAGCCAGATGATACTGGAGGTACTCCTTCATGCAAACAGATTTTTCATTATTATTATTATTATTATTTTGTCTAGGTACCTAAGTTGGCCTACGCTGTTTAAATTCTCAATATTTTCAGACATTATTGTTTTGGATTCTTGCTGAAGAGGAACATCTGTGCTGCTTTCCATCATGTCTTCACCCTGGAGGTGTTTCTCCACTGCAATCACAGCCATGCTGACATGGGAGGTGTCCCACCAACATCAGCCAGGCCAGGCCGTATTAACTGTGATACCTTATTTTTGGGGCACCGGGAGGCGTCTGGCTTGGGGCCCACAGAGCCTGCAGTGTTTCATTTGTGCTTGAGCTGAGCTAAAGGCCGGCTCATACTTTGCTTCCCGAGGTCCGCACACAGTGTGAGTGACGTAAATTTCATCATCAGCAGTGTCTGGCGGACTGTGCACATGCAGCCGTGATTTTTTTGTCCAGCAGACATCATCGAGTGCACATGCACAAGGATATTGACTTGGTATTTCCAGTAGGTGGCAGCACTGGATACCTGCATATCTAATTTTTCATACACTGCAGTATAATGTATTTTCAAAAGCAATGCTATTCTGGAATTTTTAAATCTTGGTGATACAGTTTGCCAAGCAGGTGTGTGTGTGTGCGCGGGGGGGGGGGGGTGGACGGACTAATTTTGTAACTAATATTTCTAAAAACTGCGGTATGCCGTGTTAGCATAGTGCCACCTATTCCAAGTAACAAGGAAAGTACCCATTCACTACTATGCTTATTTTGTGTTTTTGGCAGTACTGCCCTCTGCTGGTCTGGTGGAATACCATGGCTGTTTGCATGCTCTGACAGAAAAGTGAAGTATGAACTGGGTGTAAGCACTGACATTCACTGTTTTTGGGAGGATAAGGGACGGCACTAAGGGCGGTAAATTACAAATGAAACCCAGAGGAAGTCAGCTGTGCGTGGGGGCAGACGGACCACGTCCTCATCCAAGAGCGCAACGCTGAGGTGTCTAAGCCAGTACTTCTGTAAGTGTGAAGTTCTGTAAATGTGCAAATGTTTTATTAATTAATGGGGCTGTCTGATCGCATGTTAGCACTGGAAAGTTGTAGAAATCAAGCATAAAATTCAATAAACATTTATATTATATGAAAAGATTGAAGCAGTACTGTTTATGGGCAATATCATTAGTCAGTGCTTCAGTGCTCACAGTGAATAATCTCTGCTCTTCTAGACATGATGCAGCATGTATAACAATCAGGAATAACTTCCAAGGTGCCCATGGGCACAATACAGGATTCCTACAGGTGTATGTGGCTATAAAATAGGGCCTCACTGCTATTCACTGAAGTTCAAAGTGTTCAACACCAGAGCTTCAGCTGGAAACATGAGGGTGCTGCTGAAATCCATGGACACAATATTTAAAGGGGTAGTTTGTTGCTGTTTCTGAGCATCATAGCTTTTTTTTTTTTTTTTTACACTAAAAGCTTATGACAAATATCGATCTTTGGAACCTTCTGGAGATACGAATGTCAACATCCTGTTCGCAGGAGCTTTAACTCGTGCCTCCGGCAGAATTCCAACTGCATGCCGGGGGAGGTTGGGGACATTGAGTCTGAATGGACACTGTTCCGGACCTCCATTGTGGAAGCGGCCGTATGGAGCTGTGGCTGCAGGGTGGTCGGTGCCTGTCGTGGCGGTAACCCCCGTACCTGATGGTGGACACCAGAGGTGAGGGGGGCTGTCAGGCTGAAGATGGAGGCTTACCGGGAATTATTAGCCTGGGGGTCTCCGGAGGCAGCTGACGGGTACCGGCGGGCCAGGCGGAACGCAGCTCGGGCGGTCGCAGAAGCAAAAACCCGGGCGTGGGAGGAGTTCGGTGAGGCCATGGAAAGTGACTTTTGGTCGGCCTCAAAAAGGTTCTGGCAAACCATCCGGAGTATCAGGAGGGGGAAGCAGCTCTTGGTTCCTACTATTTATAGTGGGGAGGGGGTGCTGTAGACCTCACCTGGGGACATCACCCGGAGGTGGAAGGAATACTTTGAGGACCTCCTCTGACATTCCTCAAATACATCTGCACACACTGCCTTTGAAACATCTGAGGGCACAGAGCCCGAGGGT